CTTTGTTATAAAGCAGAAACTAACACACCATTGTAAAGCAATTATACTCCAATAAAGATGTTAAAAAAAAAAAAGTGGAACTGGTAGGATTTTGGTAACAGATTCAGTGTGAGATGTGAGGAAAAGAAGTTTTGGGCCTGAGGAACTGGAAAAATGTTTTCATTTACTGGGATGAGAAAGATGGGGAGGAGGTTTAGGCTGGTGTGGTCAGGAGATCCGTTTTGGACATGCTAAGTTTGAGAAGACTATTAGAAATCCAAGATTTGTCTATCTGTGTAAACATTCCTTGTATATTTATCATGAATCGATTAGACTTGTTCTCACTCTTGATTACATCAGTTGCATGTTACTGAAATTACACAAACATTACAAAAAGGAAGAAATACCAAAGCAAAAATAAACAGTTAATAGTTTTTATAAAAGCTAAGTCGAATGCTTTGAAGACGTAATAAAAGCAAATAGCTTATAAACATTACCATCAAGCTAGGTGTGGGGAAGACAAATGTAAGATTGGGTAGAAAATTATGAAAACCTAGGGGGATTTGGGACTCATTGCTTTTCATGTAACTTTTTCTCCTTTAAATAAGGGAAACTGGAAAACCCAGATGATGATTTTGAGGTATAGTTTCTACAACAAAGACATCTCAGAATACCCAGTAGATCCATACTCCCAGTAAAGGCCTTCACCCTCCCTCAAAAGATTGGTCCAAGAATGTGCACACATTCATTTAAAATTAAAATGTCTACATTATCTATATACAATTTATTATGATTCCCTGGTGTGATATCCAGTCACCAAGATAACCCCAAATGATCCCGCCTCCTAGTCTTTCCACCCTTGTGTAATCTCCTCCCACAGTGTGTCAGGGTGTGTGACTAATAGAATATGGCACAAGTGATGGTATGTCCTGTTCAAGTCTAGGTTATAAAAGATACTGTGTCTTTTGCCTTGACACCTCTTGGATTACTCACTCTGGGGAAAGCCAGCTGCTGTATTTTAAAGATACTCAGGCAGCTCTGTTAAGAGGCCCACGTGGCAAGGACCTAAAGCCCCCTGACAACAGCCATGCGAGTGAGCAAATCTTGGAAGCAAATCTTCCAGCCCTAGTCAAACCTTCAGATGACTGCAGTCTCAGGACAGACCCTAAAACCCTGGACCACTAGAACCAGCCGTTCCTAAATTCCCAACCCTCAGAAACTATGGGAGATAATGTTCGTTGTTTAAAGCTGCTAAATTTGGGGATATTTTTTTACGCAGCAATAGATAACAAATGCACCCACTTTAACCTACTTTTAAAAAAATTATCCATCTGCTACCACATTAAGCACTCAGTCCTTTTTAAAGTCCCTGGGCCTATTCTCTCACAGTGTTATTAAATAAAAGAATTAGCAAAATTCTAGAAGTCACATATTTCAGGTGCTTTCAAATGTCGAAGTTCTTCTCTATATTTAAGTATTATGGTATTATTTCAGATAGCAAATTACAAAAGTTCTGTAATCTCCTATATATAAGTATACTTTGTGAAAGCCTTTTGTGACACACATAAGAGACAGTTAAAAGCAAAACGTTGAGGTGGTATCTGATATGCCAGTTGCCTTGCTGAGGCTTTTAAGTACAGAATAAAAAGCATCATAGAAGGAAGGTTTCCTTTTTTTTTTTTTTTTTCCTGTACTGGAATTCAGTCCTTTCCTGCCCAAACGATAAAGGTTACTTAGGGGTTTTTCACTGTTCAAAGGTAGAAAAAAAACAAAAACAGAACCTCATCAGACAAAAGAGCTGAGCAGCCTGATCAAAGACGTCAGTAGCATGAGGAGAGAAAGAGATTAAAGGAGAAGTGGCAGGTTAAAGTATTACAGAATACAGAGTGTAGGAAGAAACACTACATAAAAAATAGAAGTCAAAAGCAAGAACAGTAGGAAAGACAGCTGGATAAACCAAGTGAGTTTATAACGATTTCCAGCGAAGCCCTACAAAGAGTGTAACAATAGGACACTGAGACTCTTGTAGAGGAGTATTTTAGACAAACATAAAAATTCGGAGCGACATGTTTAAAGGGCCAAATATTAAGTTCATGTAGCAGGGTCAACGAGGACGGCATGAGACAACAGGAGGATGGCAGATGACAAAGAAAACAGAAGATGAGACTGAGACATGGATCAGGTTTCCCATTCCATCTCCAACCCTATATCCTTGCTAGGAAAAAATTTCACCCATATTTGTATGGTTCGTTTATTAAGTAATATACTTATGTTCAGTTTAACAGTCTAAAAGTATAACTATACACATTTATCTATACTGTACAGGTTTATTCTAAAATAAACCTCTTCATTAAAAAGTCCCAAATCGAGAATACTGTTTTTATAACGAGGTAAACCCTTCTCACCATCCGGTATCTTCAGTGGTGACCAGGCAGCATCCCTCTCCTTGACTAAATGTATCTGAACCAAGAAGTGGTGGGCAAGGGGCATGTCTGAATAGGGAAGGATGCACGTACATCAATAAGATAAATTTATATTGTGTTTGATGGCAATTTTAACCAAAACACTTTAAATTATTAATAAAAAACCACAAGTACTTTGCCTTTATTGATCACAAAACTGTTTTCTCTCCCAGTTAGTACATAAAGAAAACATACTTTTACACTTGATTTCAGTATTTCTGCAGCGTTCTGTATTCTCCATGCCTGTATATGTGGTCTTATGGAGACTGAAAGCTCCCATAAGGTAGGCAGGGTTTGCTGAGACAAGTGTGACCTTGCAAATATATATAAGCATTGTATAAAATATTCAATACATCAGCAAGATGTACCATCACTTTTTTATTTGGCAGAAGTAGAAATACAGCCACGTTACAGTGCTTATTTTGGCTAAAGAGCCAGTGCTATTTTTTTCTGCTACTGTAGTGTTTCACTTTTACATAAATTAATAAGTGCAGTCCTTACATATAGGAAATAGACACATTTACTGATATCAGCCAAGTAAAGCTAATACACGGTTGTTCTCAAACTAAGCAAAACAATAACATAATATAATCATTAGGAACAAAGAAAGGATGCCCTTATTTCCATTAATCACAGACTATACAAATTCTTAAGTCTCACATACAGAGGTATTTCTAAATTTGATTAATCCAAGCAAAAAAATATATATTTTTTAATTCAGCCTAATTCTTACAACCACTTTGAAATATATATTCCAAATAATTTCCTAATATGTGTTCATGTTAAAATAAAAGCAAATTATGTTATGAACATAATTTAAACTTTCTAATTAGGAAAGGTCACAGAGAAGTATGTTAAATGTTACTTTGGCATTCCTATCTCACAGGTTTAAGGGAATGATAAACTAAAGAATTCTTTTGTAATGCAAATAATCACTCCCTAGATAATCATTTAAGTGGAAAATATTACATCTTAAGGCAAGAAAAAGTTTGTAAATATTTTTTATGAAGTCAGTTAATTCAACAAATTAATAGAATCACAATAAATATATACAAATAAAAAAATTTTTTATGAGAAGGAAAAAGTTCTTTGGAGCTGACTATAACACTATGAAAAACTTGCCTTCTTTTTAAAAAGAATCTCATTTTGACATTTAATAAACATATCACAATCCTGCAAGAATAAATAACTAGCCTTTTAGTTGAACAAAGATGTAGGGAAACCAAAATAGAAAAAAAAATCATCAAATATAAATCACCTGAACACTTATCTTTTTTCTTCCAGAAAACAGGAGGAAAAAAAATCCATTTTCTCATGATTAATTCAAGGTCCTCTTATAATTCACATAGGGAAGTAGACGGTAGAACTCACGGTGGCAAAGGCAATATTCTGATAATACTACCATGAAGAAGTGTTAAATAGGGTTTTATCCTAAAAGGCTCTGGACTAATTTACTTACTTTTTATTTTTTAAAACTGCTTTTAACCCAATTTCAAGGCAAACTGAAATTGGAACATATGCCTCAAGTACTCTTCAGTGGTCAGAAATATTTTTAAGAGCTGTTTCTTTAGAAAGGTCAAGTTTCTTCCCTTATAATAGAGAGGGTTTTTTCTATATCTATTACCTTGAAAGTCTATTTGGTCATTCTTGTCTCTTAAGTCAAAGGCCACATAGAAAGCCTCTTACTAAGGTAGTAGCTTCTGAAATGACCAGAAACTAACCAACCTCAAGCACTGAATTTGAGGTTGATATGCTCTTAAATATGGGCAATTTCTTTTTTTTTTTAAGGTGAAGTGTAAAAGAAAAAACACCTTCTGGAAAGCCATTCATCTTACCTGATGAAATAAATTCCCCAGAGTTGATTCATGTACTAGCAGCATTATTAAATAGTGCAATTCTTCAAAACAGATTTCAAACAATATCCTCCTCAAATAAAAAAGTAATTAAGTTTACTTATAGCTTTGTTTATAAAACCACAGCTTAAAACATTCAGCCCCCCAAACAGGAAAATTAACATAAGCAATAACTATCTTGCTTATACAATGATGGGAATAGGTGTGTGCACACGTGTGTACGTGTGTGAATCATTCAAGGCCGGTGGTACCTCAACAAGAAACCAAAATACAGGATACAAATTAAAAAGTAAAATATTACATAATGCAATTTTTAGCTTTGATACCTCTAAAGATATTCCTCCATCAACAATAAGAATTATGAACAGCCAAGTGTTAAATTAAGAATATATGTAATATGTGTAAGAAAAGTCAAGGAACTATATACTCAAAAAATATTAGAGCAATATTTCATATTGTTTAATGTTGTAACCTACACATTATGGAACACAGTACATGCAAACAGCATAAAAGTTCTGAATGTCCTATTTTGTAACTAATATTACATAAATTTGGCACATATATAAACTTAAAACCTTAAAAGATTATGCTTCTTTCCCCACTTTTCATTTTCTATTCATTCATCAGAAACTAGGCACTTTAAAAATGCATTTAAAAAAATATATTTTAGATCCTTCTGGATAACTCACTCCTAAAATGAATAAAGCCCACTTTAGGAACAAAATCAACAAATCCAATCTATTGTTTTACTCAGACAGCCACTCTAAATAAGTGGCATATGATTTACACACAAAATTAATACAACTCTGAAAGTATCTAATATACTCTGAAGAACCTTATTCATATGAACAACCCACTTGTTCATACATCTGTCATAAAGGACAGGAAACATACTTCCATACCATTAAAAAATATTTTGTTCTATATTCGGGGGAAAAACCTTCAAGACCTCCCTAAGATTCAAAGTATCAATGAATAACTTAAAAATATGGTTATAATATGACAAATTCTCAGTGTGCTAAGTTCTCTGTAGAAACAACTAAAAGCCAGTTTTGCATAAGGAGAAAGAAGAAATGATTTTACTGTATCAAGATTAATACCCTAGGATGTTGGGAGATGGTCTCAAAACTACATGGAAAAATTTTAATTGCCTGTCATAGTTAATAAGTGTTATATTTTTAATCAATATTCATTCAAGGGAAATGTTCTAATCTATACCAAGACAAAAGAAATTTCTTCAGTCTCTCTATTGTAACATAGGACCAACTGTAATGTATTTTGGAAACTTCAGTAAATCTAATATAAACTTGTAAACTTCTCGGTGGCAATTCGTTTAAATGTTCTGTAACGATACTCGGCCATTACAATTTCTTTGATTCAAATACTTAAGCAAATGCACAAGCAATAACATAAGCAGTACGTATTAAACACCACTACTGCCTAAATTTGATTAAACAACAAGTAACTTTACAATTAAAAATACATTTTCAGGCAAAGTTAACTTTGTTGACACTAGGAGTAATATATTCTTGCATGTGTGGGCCATAAAAGTCTTGGCTAAAGTATATATATTCCAGGTGCAAAGCATAAAAACAAAGCTTTTGAGAATGAAACTGGACATTTCAGACAGCTTCAAGACAACAAGTCAATTAACTCCCAAGTACTGGTTTCAATTCAAGCAGTATTTCTGTAAAATATACATTTCACAAAGATTATTACCTAAAGATTAAAAAAAAAAGCACTTTGGATACACTACATGGGGACTCAATGACAGAACTTCTGTGTAAGTACAGTACAATCACTCATTCTTTACTAGGTTTTTTTTCCCTCCCTGAGTCCATATCCACCAATTCTGTATAATATATGTTACAAAATCAATAGTTACCTTAAAATATTTCATAGCACACTGAAATTGTCTGATTTTTATGGTACTTATTGTACTTTGGCTTCTAATAGGCCACTGGGCATAACATGACTATGACTACTTATACAGCTACTTGTATGCCTCAGTGCATCGGCTCCAAGATAGGCCATTAAAAGTTCAGTGCGGCGAATAAGCAACTGCATGAGGTCTTCAGCCAAAGTCTCTATACTGGAGTAGCGCACCTTCTCAAAATCAAAAATGTCTTTGAGAAAGAAAAGAACTTGATTCTGGAAAATGAACACAAAACAAATTGGCACTTATTAGACCAAAATTATATTAAAACTAAATAGTTACTAATATTGTAACAAACAATGAATTAGGGGTCAGTTCCACTACTAATTTCAAATCTCAATAGAAAAGGAACCTTGAACAAGTGATTAAACCTTTTTGGGGAGTCTCATTTTCTTTTTCTGTAAAATAAGGGATAATTACTACCTGTCATTTTTACTACTCAGGGCTGATGTAATGATTAAAAAAAAAAAATCTCGGGAGGGTGGGAGGGAGATGCAAGAGGGAAGAGATACGGGGACATATGTTTATGTATAGCTGATGCACTTTGTTATACAGCAGAAACTAACATACCATTGTAAAGCAATTATACTCCAATAAAGATGTTAAAAAAAAAATCTCTGGGAAATGCTGGTAAATACTAAAGCACTGTATAAACCTAAGGGGCTACTATTAGTCCTTTCCCAATAATTGAAGTTTTCATTGTTACCTATGGGCACTGGTACTACTTTAAGACAGGAAAGTAAACTATTTCCAATAATTATAACTTATAAAATTTCAAATGTACCAAAAATGACTTGACATGTGAAAAATAAAAATAATTTCAGGTCTCAAATCAGTGGAAGATCGTGAAGAAGATTTCACTTCAGTAACTTAATACTTATGCTGAAACCCATTTTAAGCAACTTGTATACTACTAAGTCAGTCTCGGGTTCTTATGCCAAGATGGAAAACAAGGTAATTCCAAAGAACAAAAAAACAGGAATATTTAACTTCTATCCTACGGAAATCAACTGTTAAGAAGTACTAAGAAGGCACAGTTCATAGATTTCATTGGATTTTATATCTGGAAGGGTCGCTGGCAATCAACCTGTATGGTCCCCTCATTTTATGAAGAGGAGGAGGACAAAGCATGATTTGCCCACAACCAGAGTGCTCATTAATGGCATACTTAATTCCCAGTCCAAACTTTTCCCTCTAAACACATACCTTACACTTGAGAGGTCAAGTAAATTAATCAAAAATTGAGTTTTCAATGACAGGAAAAAAAAAAAATGTCCTAAACCATTTACATAAATGTTACATTAACGGCACATAAACAAAATAATTTAATTTTTTAAGTGAAGGGTATAGAGTAACATCCAAAGTTTCAAACATCAAAAACTTTCAAATTCATACTTGATTATGTTTACTTTTATTTGCTCCTTGAAACTCAGCCTAAATTCAGGACTATTAAATAGTGAGACTTTTCTTGGCACTGTGCCAGGCAGAAATTTCTGCAACAAGCTGCAACTTGTGTTTTGGTAAATTTAAACTGCTGACTTTGGAATACAATTTTAAACTCCCACCTTATTTCTCACAGCTGGGATTTTATCATTCATGTTACCTTTAACTAGAACTTATTTCTAAATTGCCACATGTGCAATAAAGACAGATATTATTTGCTTTACAAATTTCAGAAGTGTCCAGGCATGCAGAACCGTCTATAGCAATTTGTTTAACATTGTAACACACATGAGAACATGTACACATTACAGAAGGAACTGATAAGGTGAATGGACTTGCTGAATCTTCTCCAGGATAAAACACCAAATCTATACAATACTGTTTCACTGGCATGGGTGACTTTTATAATCTTACATTTAAATAATATTCTTCTACAAAACCAAAACCAAACAGAATAAAACTTTATCCGTTTTTCAGTTTAGAAAAAAGAAATGATTCAATGACTGAACATACCTTAAAGAAGCAACATAAGTCATAGAGAGAATTTCTAGGACCCAAAAAACCCCAGGCTAGGACAGGGCTGATGTGCTCACAAATGGCATAAAAATGGGCAAAAAATCCATCTGGGATCTGTTACGAAGTAAAGGAGAATCAAGTTATTTTTACCTTCTTGCATTTGCTTGCTATCCATCATATGACCAGCTCTTTTTGAGGACAGAACAAGGGTCAATGATAAGCTAGCCTAATAAGACAGTTAATACACTTAACAAGTAACTGTTAGAGTCACAGAATGCTTTAAGTAGATTTCATATCCTAGCCAACAGTCTCACTTTGCTGAAAACATTATTTCTTAAAGGCATTTTTACCTCATAAAAAAGCAATCACAGTGCTGTAACCAAGCAATAACAAGAATGCTACAATGTTCCTTAGCACTATAATTTTTAGGATGAATGAGACCAACATGGTTTTAGCTAGTTCAGTAGAATTTAAGAAATTCTACTCAATCACTTAATTAGATTATCTGAAAAAGACTAAAATGAATTTTTAATTGATTAAGCACAAAAATATGCTTACTAGAATTCTAACTTTTAGTTAAGGAACCAGATATTATTGAAGCATTTAATTAGGCAATGCACCTTCTTGTGAAATAGTAATACATACAGTTGTGATTTAGGAAACTCTCTAAGTTTATTAATAACTTTCTAAATTTCCTTTGTTAAATAACATCCTGTGAGATTTTGTCATAGCATCTACTGGGGATAAGTATGCCTTAAGATCCTGTCTCTTGGAGGAGTTATCTTCTATTTTACAGGCTCCAAGACATCTTTTAAACCTCAAATTAAAAATATATTATAACAGCAGTTACTATTTAATGAGTACCCACTATATACCAGATAATATGCTAGGTTCTACTTAATTTAATAAAACGTTCCTGAAAAATTAGGTCATGTTAATATATTTTAACATGTAAAAAGTGAGACTTCAGAGGGGTTACAAAACCTATCCTGGGCTTCCCTGGTGGCGCAGTGGTTGAGAGTCCGCCTGCCGATGCAGGGGACATAGGTTTGTGCCCCGGTCTGGGAGGATCCCAAATGCCGTGGAGCAGCTGGGCCCGTCAGCCATGGCCGCTGAGCCTGCGCGTCCGGAGCCTGTGCTCCGTAACGGGAGAGGCCACAACAGTGAGAGGCCCGCGTACCGAAAAAAAAAAAAAAAAAAAAACCTACCCTAACTCACATACAGCTAGTTAGTAAAGGCCAAAAAGTTATCACGGATACATGGACTGTAGTCTAAGAGGTTCTGCATATATTAAAATTCTAAATCCCATACTTATATTAACTATATATATTAACTATAATAGGAATTCAGACAGGTATGAAGTTAGCATAGGCTGAAGTAGAAGAGTCATGCTTCACCAAGGAATAACGTGAACTGAAACAGTAGGTAAAATTTATTTAAGTAGACAGGATAGAGTATGACATTCCAGGATAGGAAATAGTTCCCCAAGACGTAAGATATATAGCTATCTGTGGATACAGGAAGAATATTAGTCCAAGGCATGAGATTTATACTAAGAAGTAAGAAATAAGGTTAGGTATAATGATAATAATATTACTATCATTATTATTATGGAAACTACTACTTATTAAACTCTTTTATATTTACTCTTAATTTTATGTTTTATCTCATTTCATCTTTACAGCAGCTCTATGAGGCAGGTATTAACTTCATTTTGCAAACAGGAAAACTGAAGGTCAGCTGACAGTAACTTGCCTATGATCATAATAGCTAGTGCGAAAATCAAACCTAAGTCTACAAGTCTGTTCCCCAGACCTAAACCAGTGGTTCTCAGACGTTAGAGTTTCTAATCATTTGGGGAGCTTGCTAAAAACACAGGGTCTTTAGAATCATTTTTTATACAATTTTTAAAGGTTACATTCCATTTACAGTTATTACAAAATATTGGCTATATTCCCCATGTTGTACAATACAACCGTGTACAACATCTTTGAAACAAGAATTATGCAAATATATGGTTTCCAGAATTATTTTTAACAAGCACCTTCTGCAGATGCTGTGAGAACTATGCTCCAGAAACACTGCACTTGGCAATACTATCTCAAAGGTATAAGGCTCAGACTTAGAAATATGGACATGACAAAATACTGTAGGTCAGTGGGCAAATGATAATAAAATAATAATAACCTACAGGTGCATAATGCACTGTGTCCAGCACTGTTCTAAGACACTACATTAATCCTCAAAAAACCCCATGAGGTGGAAACTATGCTCTTCTTTAGAGATGAGAAAACTAAGGCATAGAGAGGTCAAGACTTGCCTGAGGTCATAGCTGGTAGGTGGCATCTGAATTCAGGCAGCCTCACCCCAGAGTCCATCCTCCTTTACCACAGGAGTGTATGTGAGAGCAGTGTGTAGTGGGTGAGATAGCCTGGAAGGTGCGGAGCGTGCGAGCAGGATATGACTTTGAGATGTTTTTTGGTAGGTGCTCTCAGTTGAATAAACCAGCTAATCAATCATCATTTCTCAACTGGATTACATGAAGTGGAATCCACTATGCTAAACAATTTTTTTTCTTTTTTTTTTTTTTTGCGGTACGCGGGCCTCTCACTGTTGTGGTCTCTCCCGTTGCGGAGCACAGGCTCCGGATGCGCAGGCTCAGCGGCCATGGCTCACGGGACCAGCCGCTCCGCGGCATGTGGGATCTTCCCGGACCGGGGCACGAACCCGTGTCCCCTGCATCGGCAGGCGGACTCTCAGCCACTGCGCCACCAGGGAAGCCCTAAACAATTTTTTTAATCTTAAAATATCATTAAGTGAAAAAACAACAAAAAAAAGTCTATTAGCGCTGTTTGCAACTTTAAAAACAGAGAAGCCAACCCAGTGCCAAAAGATCACTCATCTAGCTTGAGGGACAGTGCTTATGAGCTGCCATCCCCCGCTGAACACTGACTCACAAGTTTCTTTGACAGGAGCTTCAAATTACTTTACAGAGAACTCCAAGACATAATGAATTTTACCTTCATCTGTTGCCTTTTCTGTTTCAACACTGACCAACAACTTGAAGCCACAGCCTAAACATATACAGAGGAGAAAAAAGCAAGATTTAAATTTATAACTATATAAACTTTCCATTTAGAAAAGAGTGACTTTAATTAGAAATTCAAAGTTTAAAGATCTAAAATGTTTAAAACATTAACTAAAAAGAAACAGTCCATGCTCCTTCTATTGTTTGTAAATATCAATGAAAAGATGTTTATAAATTTTAAAATTAAATACAAAGCCACTAAAAGAAAAAGGGTGGACTCCGGTGACAAGGAACTTGGTAATTATAGTTCAAGTAATATTTTTTTCTTCAAGAATAGTAGTGCTGGAAATAGCTGTGAGTTGAACCAACATTCTTATTCAAATAAAGAACTAAGAAACATAACCATAATGACAGGGACAAAAACACCCAAGTGGATCCTGAAGGAATCTGACCCTACTCTGGCATGACCCCACTTCGATCAACGTCACTGTCCCAAATCAGTTACAGAAATGGAGACATGTATCTTTTATGGTTAAAACATACTTTGAAGGAAAAGTATTATACTATATATATATTTTTTCCTCCAAAAATATATATATCGTCTTTTCACTGAAACTGCTATATTTGTTTAGTCATAGAGCCATTTCAGTTACAGATAATTTTTTGTTAGGCCTGAACTAGTTTGAAACCCAAGTGTTTTTTGAGATCTGAAGAAATACTGGGTCCTCCAGGTCAAGGCAGGGACTGACAGAAGAGCCAAAAGGAAAATTTCATCTTCAGATGTTATATATCATACACATCTGATCCCAATATCAAAGGATGAGCTCAGTTTGCATAACAGTCGTTCTACAGGCAGACACACATATATATATCTTATTCATCTTCCTATTTTTAAAAAAATATATATTTATTTATTTGGCTGCACTGGGTCTTAGTTGCAGCACGTGGGATCTTTTAGTTGCGGCGTGCGAACCCTTAGTTGCAGCATGCAGGATCTAGTTCCCTGACCAGGGATCGAACCTGGGCCCCCTGCATTGGGAGTGCATTGTCTTAACTGTTGATCCACCAGGGAAGTCCCCATCTTCCCAATTCTGACTAATTTTCATCAAATTTAAATGGTTGAGAAAGGTAAACCACCACTTACGGTTTCTTTGAAGGAGGAGTTTAGCCAGCGATTATTTACTACGTTCTGTATGGATGTGGGTGGGTTTTCTAAATCTTCAAAGGAATCCATTAATATAAAATCCAAAACAACATCATAAAAATTTAGATTTTTCACCTGCATTAAATTATAAGTTAAAACAGAAATTATTACTACATAGAGCTGAAATGAAGTCTGAGCCAGGGCTTCATACTGATACATTACAACAGCAGTACATTTTTAGTTGAATCAGATTATATCTCTGACAAAAACAGAGGAAGAAGACAGACAACTATGAGAACAACTCACCACCAGAAATTATAATTCACATGACAGCTGTTCCCTCCTAGATCCTATCAGGTGAAATTAATCTCTCCCTCCACTCTATTCTAGGAGTTCTTTGTTCATGCTTTTATTGGGTTGGCCAGAAAGTTTGTTTGGGTTTTTCCATAAGATGTTAAGGAAAAACCCGAACGAACTTTTTGGCCCACCGAATATTATGGTATCCACAATGCTCATTCTGTTCCGTCATTTAGTTACTGGTATATCTGCCTGTCTTCCCCACCACATCATGAACCTCTCGCTCTTTCATTCATTCATGCAAATTGTATTGTACTACATGCTGTACCAGGTGCTGAGACTTCTACAGTAAGCAAACTATATGCTTAGAGGTTAGTGGGGAAAAGACAGCAATAAATAATTCCACAAATACACAATTAGAACTGTGATAAGCACAGTAAAGGAAAAAGTACACGGTACTATGAAAGCTTATGATGGAGCTTCTAATCTAGACTGGATGTCAGTGAGGGCTTTTTTCAAGGAGTGAGGCAAGCCAAGTACATGAAATACCTTGTCAAAGACTTGAAGGTAAGAAAGAACACAGTGATGTGGAGCCAAAGAGTATCACTGAAAGTGTGCCGCAGCTCTCTACAGCACGGGGGCGAGTGCCTAGACACAGGAGGAAGGGCCAGCTCCTGCAGAGTTTATGGCCCAGGTTAATGACTTTGGATTTTATCCTCACAGTATTTTGGGGGGTAGTGGTGGAGGGGAGATGGATGATCAGATCTTCTTTTTTAATCTTCGGTAACTCATGAATCTATTTCATTTTTTTTTCCAGGTTCAGTGAGACATAATTGACATACAGCACTGTAAAAGTTTAAGGTGTACAGTATAATGATTTGACTCACATACATCATGAAATGATTACCACAGTAAGTTTAGTGAACACCATCATCTCATATAGATACAACACGAAAGAATTAGAAAAAAAAACTGTTTTCCTTGTGATGAGAACTCAGGATTTACTCTCTTAATGACTTTCATATTTATACAGCAGTGTTCATTATCTCTAATGTGTTGTACATTACATCTGTAGTACTTATTTATCTTATAAGTGGAAGTTTGTACTTTTTGACCACCTTCATCCAACTCCCCTTCCCCTGACCCCCTGCCTCTGGTAGCCACAAATCTGATCTCCTTTTCTATGATTATGTTTGTTTGTTTGTTTTTGAAGTATAATTGACCTATACTATGTTAGTTCCTGGTATACAACACAGTGATTCAATGTTTCCATACATTCCAAAATCATCAACATGATAAGTCTAGTCTAGATATTACATAGTTATTGACTATATTCCCCACACAGTACATTTCATATCTGTGACTCACTTATTTTATACCTGAAAGTTTGTACCTCTTAAATCTCCCTCACCTATTTCTTCTCCTCCCTCCATCCCCCTCCCATCTGGCAATTACCTGTCTGTATCTATGACTCTATTTCTGTTTAGTTAAGTTTGTTCATTTGTTTTGTTTTTTAGATTCCACATGTGAGTGAAATCATACAGTATTTGTCTTTCTCTGCCTGACTTATTTCACTCAGCATAATACCCTCTAGGTCCATCCATGTTGTCACAAATGAGATTTCATTTTGTTTTTATGGCTGAGTAATATTCAGATTTGTATTGTTCAAGACCGTTTTGGCAGAAATGTGGAGAGCAGAACAGAGAGGAGGAAGAGTGAACGCAAGGAGGGGAGGAGCAGGCAAGAAATTCGGGAATGCAAAACGCTGGGGTAGCCCAGGGAAAAACAACAGTTACTCAGACTACCACGGGGCCGGCAGCAACAGAGAAAAGTTGCAGAAACTGAAAGATATATAGGAGTTAAATTGACAAAACTTAGAGATGAATATGATAAAGTAGGCGAGGGCCAGTGACGTGTAAAGGATGAGTCCCAGGTTTCGGGCCTGCGCAACTGAACGGATGCCAATTCCTTCACTGAGTGAGGGAACACCAGAGAAGGAAAGATCGTGCCTCCGTGTTTCTGCACCTACTGTCTTCTCTGCCTAGAAAGCCTTTCAGTCCCTTGCAAACTCATTCTTTTAGCTTCCATAACAACAAAATATTCCAGGCTCATCATGTGCTTTCTCTAACCCAGTGCAGAAATCAGCCATTTTTCCAAGAAGTCCTAGTTCCTTTTAGTGGAGAGTGGTACTTAGAAGTTAAAATCTGTGTGCTAGAAATAATTTCTTTTGAGGTGTTTCTACTCCCAGACCCTCTCAGTGAATAGAGCTAGGAAGCTTATGTGTGTTTATGTATATGCAAACCTTTCTATTTATTTCCCTATCTATCTATATTGTAAACTATGAATTCACACTGACAGCTCCAATTCCAATCCTAGCTTCTTTATACCTCCCTTCTCTGACAGTGAGCTATCTGGCTCTGATCATTCTTAATATATTTAATTGTTTGTTTGATCCTGTGTATGCAGCCAATTCCCTGGCCCCACTGAGCTGCCACTGTCCTACCTGAAACCATCCTTGCACAGGCTACCATTACCACCCTGCTGGGCCTGCTCATTGACTTCTGGATGGAAGAGAGGGAGAGAAGGAATGAAGGGCTTCCTAAAAAAATAGTATTTTCACCTGCTGCCTCAATGTATAAAGACTGTGGTTGCTCTTGTTTCTGACTCTGTCATAGCCACCGTCACACAATTGGTTTTACTGTCATTTAACAAGGACAAGGAAACAGTGGCCTCAAATTATGTAAATATTCTGAGTAAATAACTAAGGGGGACAACTATTATAAAAAATTTGAACTTACTCCTCTAGCAGCAAGTTCCATTTCAGTACTATCCCAGTGATCAGTCTGCTCTAAAAAATAGATCATTTCATCAAAAACATCTTCAAACTTCTTCGGATTCTGTAGAAGAAAACACACTTTAATCCTAAGCCCGACTTGATAACAAGGCTCAAGCCTACAAAGTAAATAAGTTACTCTTCAAGTAAATTTGTTAGATCTTCATTCTATTAGGTAACTGAATTAAAACGCACTTTCAAGGGATGCCATATTCATTTGATTTAATATTTTGTTAGTCCAACATTTTGCAGAAGCCAAGACTAAGAATGTAAGTAAAATGTCATACACAAACTGCTTACTACTCAAATATGTGTGCTCATTTAGGTCAGTCCTTAAGATGAAAACTCGGTTACAGCAGATACTACGCGATGCTTTCGATGCAGTTCTATTCCTTTTGGAGGAACTCTAGTTCAAATCAGTGGGTTTATCTGCCTTGGGAAGGCCAAGAAAGCAACATAAGATTTACACTGGGATATTGTCTTTCTAGTGGTAGCAATTTGATAGGCAGAACAAGCTACTGTGTTGTTTTAATTTTAATTTCTTTGACTACAATGCTATGGAACTTTTTCATATAATCATTAAACATTCTGTTTCTTGTTAAAAAAAAAAAGATTTACATTGGGAATTGCAAGTAGTTAATATCACCCTAAATTTATGTTGTATTTTTAAAAAATTTGCTTTCCCATTTATCCTTTATTTAATCATCATAAGAACTCTCTGAAATAGGGTACCATAAATAAAATTCTATTCTACAAATGAGGGAACTGAGGTTCAAAGGGACTGGGTCTGAAAACCAGGTGTTCAAAGGGCTCAGAGAAAGTCTGGTTTTTGTTTTTTCCCTCATCATCTGGACACAACCTGCATAAAGGAAAGTGGTTCCTCACAGTCTTCATAAAGTTCTTGCCATTGCTTCTATGCCTCTGTCAGTCCCATGAAGATGAGTAAGAGGCAGCTCAATTTGTATTTCCAGATTTCTGAGATCTATACTACTTCCTGGAACCTTCTTACTGAACAGGATTGAGGGACGTAAGAGAAGAGGTATTAGAAATAACAATAGTGGTGGCTGTAGTAGCAGATCTAACGATAATTCTTACCATGACATTCACAAGTTTCATGGCAAATTGAGAATAATTTATCAACTTGATCAAAACAGTGTGAACTTTATACAAAGAAAATAAATGAACCCAAGTAGAAATCAATGCTCTTTGGGCTATTTATTTATTTTTTTGGCCATGCCATGCGGCATGAGGGATCTTAGTTCCCCAACCAGGGATCAAACCCATGCCCCCTGCAGTGCAAGTGTGGATTCTTCACCACTGGACTGCCACAGAAGTCCCTGGGTTATTTATTTTCAATATGTGAACCTTTGTAACTATCTACAAAAACATTTTCTTCTATTAAAAATTTAATGCATCTTAATCTTCAGCTCAACTGAAATAACAACAATAAAAAAACCTGCCAACGAAACAAGTTTACCTTTCGTGCTTTTACGATTAACGCTGATAAAATTTTCCTCCCACTTTCAGCAAGGAATATCCTGTTGGCTGTTTCTGAAAGAATTACCTGAAAAATATCCATCCCCAAACAAAGAAAAAAGAGACCTATAATTAATTTGAATGGACATTTGACTTTATAGCATACCTATGCATAAATAACCCAAATACAGTCAATACATGGCATGTGACTCTATTTCAGCAGGCAGACCACAGAAAAGGTCCTAAGTTACTAAAATATAAATAGCTCTTGAGGGCTTCCGTGGTGGTGCAGTGGTTAAGAATCTGCCTGCCAATGCAGGGGACACGCGTTTGAGCCCTGGTCCGGGAAGATGCCACATGCCGCAGAGCAACTAGGCCCAAGCGCCACAGCTTACTGAGCCTGCGCTCTAGAGCCTGCGAGCCACAACTACAGAAGCAGCCCATACTCTGCAACAAGAGAAGCCACTGCAGTGGGAAGCCTGCGCACCGCAAAGAAGGGTAGCCCTTACTCGCCGCAACTAGAGAAAGCCCGTGCGCGGCAACGAAGACCCAACGCAGCCAAAAATAAATAAATAAATAAAACAAATAAAATTGTTTTAAAAAAGAAAAATACTTAAAAAATAGCTCTTGAACATATAATAAAAAAGATTAAAGGGAGATAAATATGAATTTAAATTCTGTTCAATTTCATATTAGAAAATCCAAAAAAAATATTATACAACTCCAAAACACAGAAAAATAAAGATAGTTTTGTTGTTAAATGACCTTATTTCATTTTAGGAAATCGATGATTTCACATCTGATTCAAATAAAAATATTCTAGAACACATGCTAATTGACAGTAAGAAAAAGGATCTATATTTTAAGCAGCAATTTATACACATACATCTTTAGCATCAAAATATTCTATTTTGACAAAATGTGGTAGACCCAGGAAGTTATAGCAGAGGATGACAAATGAAGACAAATGAAGGGAAACAGCAGGCAGGAAAAATAAACTTAGCAGACTTTTTATCTGCCAATAGGAATAAGGATAATAAAGAGCACAGGGCTGTCCTGTTTATATGCAGCTGGACTCTATGGCATGAGGGTGGGGATGAGTGGCTGGGTGAAGTCACTTACTGTTAAAAAAAATACCTGAAAAGCCTGTCGAATACAGTGAAGTTTGGCAAGAAAATCACTGTCTCCTAGGCACTCCAACATTTCAGTTCTAAGTAATAAACAGGGGAGACAACTGTTAAAGTGCATTTAAGATCAAGCCTACTACAAATGTGGACTCGAACAAGGCTTAACCTCGGGACCTTAATAAAAAAACACATGTCTTTTCAGTACTGACAAAACATGTAAAAATAATTTTTTTTGAGCCTAAAAACATATTTTCCCCTATTCTAATAAATATTTTTAACAAATATCGGACAAACATAGCAATAGCATCTTAATATTTTTTATAAACATAAGCATGATACCTAAGCACTCTTGAGTAAATTTTTCCTTCTTCAACTAAATGCATGGCCTCTTCGTAAAAAGGGCAGTGGCAAAGAGACTCCAGACTGTAGATATGCTGTACTTCTTTGTGTTCTGCAAGCTAAGAATACAGTGGGTTAAAACAGACTACACTGATACGAGAAGAAAAACTATAAAAAATAGAAAATAGGATCTTGCTAATATTAAAATATACTCAATTTTATTAAAATGTGAAAATAATTCAGTAAGATTTTATAGCTAGTAAGATCTGAATTCATTTTATTTCAAAATTCAGTTGTAAAAAAAGAGTAAAACTTTATAACAAGCTTATAGTTAATTTTGAATACAGCTACAGTTTACCAACAAGAAAAACTGATGATGAAGCATTGAAAAAAAAAGAAGAGAATTTTATCATGCAAAGAATGCTTAAAAGTATTATAACTCATGATTGTAAATGAAGTAAAGTTGTCTACAAAAACACTGTAATAATCTCAATTTGGCTAATTCTAGGGAATTTTTTTTTTATATGTAGCTTCGACTAACCTTTGTATAACTGAAGAATAGTCATGTACCTATGGCTAGCATAAAAACTCTACAAATGAAATTCCAGCCTTCTGATAGTTCATTAAAAAACAACAAATTTGTTGTACAGCAGAAACTAACACAACATTGTAAAGCAATTATACTCCAATAAAGATGCGAAAAAAAGAAAATGATGACAAAAAAGAAAAAACACTGCAAACACTATAGAGTTGCCAGCTAACAGGAAAACTCTGGAGTGATTTTATTTTTCAATACCAGGTGATCCATTTAAATGGGACGCTGTAGAGGTTTTTTGTTTGCTTTTAATAACAGCTTTACTGAGAGATAATTCACATACCATAAAATTCACCCATTTAAGTGTACAATTCAGTGGCTTTTTAGTATATTCACTGGGTTGTACAATCAGCACCACTTTCCAATTTCAGAATATTTTTACTATGCCAACAAGAAACCCTCTGCCCATCAGCAGTCACTCCCTATGTCCCTTTCTCTCTAGGTCCAGGAAACCAATAATCTTTCAGTGTCTATGGAATTTCCCACTCTGGAAACTTCACATAAATTGAATCAAGTAATACGCAGCATTTTGTGTTTGGCTTTTTTCACATAGCATAATGTTTCCAAGGTTCATCTATAACGCAGCATATATCAGTACTTTATTCTTTTTTATGGCTGAATTGTAAGGATATACCACATTTTGTTTATCCTTTCCTCAATTGATAGACTTGTGGGTTGTTCCCACTTTTTGATAATCATGAATAAGAAAGACTGCTTTGAACATTTATGTACAAGTCTTTTATATTTTCAATTCCCTTGAGTATATACCTAAAAATGGAAGTGTCAGATGGTAACTCTATGTTTAACTTTTTGAGGAAACTGTTTTGCAAAGTGGCTGCACCATTTTCCATTCCCACTAGCAATGTATGATGATTTAAATCTTTTCACACCTCTGCCAACAATTGTTATTGGCCATCTTTTTTTATTATAGCCACCCTAGTGGGTGTGAAGTGGTTTAAATTTCTCTAATGACTAATGATGTGGAACATCTTTTATCTCCTTATTGGCCCTTGTATATCTTCTTTGGAAAAATGTCTGTTCAAATCCTTGGCCCATTTTTAAATTGGGTTATTTGTCTATTTATTGTTGGGTTGTAATGGTTCTTTATATATTCTGGATATAAGACCTTTATCAGATACATGATTTTCAAATATTTTCTCCCATTCTACTGTCTTTTCACTTTCTTGGTGTCCTTTTTTTTTTTTTTTTTTTCTTCTGTACGCGGGCCTCTCACTGTTGTGGCCTCTCCCGTTGTGGAGCAACAGGCTCCGGACGCGCAGGCTCAGCGGCCATGGCTCACGGGCCCAGCCGCTCCACGGCATGTGGGATCTTCCCGGACCGGGGCACGAACCCGTGTCCCCTGCATCGGCAGGCGGACTCTCAACCACTGCGCCACCAGGGAAGCCCCTCTTGGTGTCCTTTAAAGCACAAAAGTTTCTACTTTTGATAAATGCCAATTAATTGTTTGTTTTCTTTTGTCCGCCTTAACTTTTTCTTTTGTGCAGAGCATCAAGGTTGGCCAGAGGTGAGAGGTTAGGGACTTCTAAGGTCTCTCCTGGACACATGCATAGCCCTGCACACGCTTATGGCCTTCTAGATTCTCAGAAATACACTGGAGCTTTTCAAAGCTCCCTATAAACATCTCATTGCCCAATTTTTCCTTTTAAAAATTGGGCAATGAGGCAGCTCCAGTGTTAAACAATTACCACTGATATTTTTCAACAAAGGCTCTAGGGATAGAAATTTTGCACAGAGCAAGCTCAAGGTCAGGTCAAATAAAGACAAGTCCTGAGAATGGAGCTTTGCAAGGAGCTGCCATACAAGCCAAATAGTGACGATTCTCTAGTGATGGGACTTTGGGGAAGCTCCAAAGCCATTAAGTTTCTTCCAGTGGCTGCTGAGCCCCTGATTTTCACAGTTACCATAGACAGTTATGAAGCTGTTGGTTTTCAAGACTACTGTGGAGAGAGGGCTAGAAATAGAACAAGTTAAAAATGTACAAGTTTACTGTTCTCATGGAGGTTCACCTATTTTCCTTGAATAAATCCTCCTTGAATTTTTACAAATGTTTAATTTTCAGAGTTCTGAATATTTTGATTTTTGACAATTTTTGCCAGTGCTTTCATTGCTTTTGTGGAGGAGATCTTTGGAAGTTTTTACTCTACTATTCCAGAAGTGTTTCTCCATGCTGTAGTTCTGGCACTTCATATGCACCCATGCTGGGCTAAATGCTTTAACTTGATTATCTCATTTCTTTACAACCACTCATAAAGTAGGTACTATTACTATCCACCTTTTATAGGTAAAGAAACAGAGATTTAGATTAGCAGGAACTTGCCCCAAGGCCCACTACTAAAGAACTTAAAACCAGGCATTCATTCCAGAGCTTATATGGACTTTTAAATATCAAACTATACGTACTCTCCTATCAGCCTTATCCAAAAATCCAAAGGAGAATAAGTTTACACATCAGCATTATTTAGGACAGTATATATACGTCTATTGGTCCAGAGGCAAAAAAAACCAAAAAGTAAACAAAATGACAATACCTGCCATTATATATACTGTCTGCTTTAAGTAATATTTCCTGCATGTTTTAAGGAAGATATATTACGCTAAAGGCAAAGTGTATTTGAGGTTAAAAAAAAAGCTAACAGTTTAAAAAATTAGAGTGGAAATTCTTTAGATATTAAATAATTTAAAGTTTTGTACCACTGTCAAAACAAACAGGATCTATGTACACCGACCAGCAGAGAAAAATTCTAAGGAGGAAACTGGGGCTCCAATTAAACTCTCTACATAAAATAATTTATACTAATAAGAAGTGAACAAATCCAACAATGAGGGATTCCAGGATCAAGTCTTGATTTTTTAGTCTATCTTGTTTATTTGTTGGTTTGGCTGAGGTGATCATTTAAGTCTCTTAAAATAAGCCTGCAGCTGTGAAAATACATCATATTTAAGATTTGACACTGGCTAACATTATCATCAATTCTTCATAAGAGACAATGACAACTCAGAAACATTAACTTAAATAATGTCTTAAGGACTTCCCTGGTGATGCAGCGGGTAAGAATCCGCCTGCCAATGCAGGAGGCACGGGTTCGATCCCTGTTCCAGGAAGATCCCACATGCTGCGGAGCAACTAAGTCCATGCGCCACAACTACTGAGCCTGCGCTCTGGAGCCCGCAAGCCACAACCACTGAGCCCACGTGCTGCAACTACTGAAGCCCACGCGCCTAGAGCTCGTGCTCCACAACAAGAGAAGCCACCGCAATGAGAAGCCTGCACACCACAACGAAGAGTAGCCCCGCTCCCCACAACTAAAGAAAGCCCGCGCACAGCAGCAAGACCCAACGCAGCCAAAAAAGTAAAAATAAAAAAAAGTTAAATTTTTTAAAGCAAAAAGCAAATCACTAAGATGATGGCTTAAATTCTCATTTTAGCATGTATCTTACAGGAAGAATTTTTTTGACAAAATTCCCAAAAACTTTTTAGAAGGTTTCAGAAAAAGATTAACATTTTACTAGAGCTGTTACTTCAGAAGCAGTCAGAAACACAGTTTAATCTCTGCATAACATGCAATTTACCATGAAAAAGGGTTCTTTTTCTTTGCTGGCTGAAACTTGAAATGTGCTTTATTTCTAAATTATTTAACATCCCAAATTACTTCCCCCTTGCCCTCCATGAGATGTCTTATCTTCTTTGACAAGCAATGACTTTGCTGAATGTGAAGTAGTATTTTTTAAAGCCTTAATATTTTTAAAAGCCTCTGAACAACCATGAAAGAAATGTCCAAAGTTCCAAAACTATTATAAGCTGGGGCATAAAATAGGCTAAGTTCAATTTTAATACAGACTATTTTTTACATTTACATTTTCCTTTCAAAATAATCACGTAAAATTACAAATAGGACTTACAGTTAAAGAAAGCGGGCTGACTGTATCTCCTATGTCACTAATAGAAGAGAAATAAAAAAGGAAATAAACCCACAATAACCACCTTCTAAAACAGCCCTCATGATGATTCTCTCTTCCTGGTACTTCATACCTCGTCCCATGTTGAAGAGGGCTGACCTGTGTAACCAATAACATATAGAAATAATGGAGTGTGATTTCTGAGGCTAGATTATAACAGTCACTGCTTCTGTCTCACTCTCTCTTGGGGAAGCCAGGTACCACCTTGTGAACAGGCTCCGGCAGTCTTATTGAAAAGTCCATAAAACCGTAAAAACTTAGGTTTTCTACCAACAGGGAGCACCAATATGCCATTCATGTAAGTGATCTTGGGGCAGATTCTCCAGCTCCAGTTAACCTTCAGATGACTGTAGCCCCAGCCAACATACTTGACTACAACTTCACAAAAGACCTCAAGCTAGCACCATTTCCAAATTCTTGACCCTCAGAACAATGAGATAACAAATATTTGCTATTGTTCTTATTATTGTATGGGGAATAACTGGGGGAGTGGGCAGGCGTCCAGTCTCAGAATTTCTGGAATCACTTCTTCGTGCTGGCAACCTT